CACGTACACCATGTGTCCGGCTGTTTTTGATGCATTTTTCTACAAGGTCAGCAAAATTTTCCCATTGGTTTTCTTTAAAATTGGTAATATCTCTACATTGAAGTGTGATTTCTTTATAGTAAAGTTAATCCTTACCTTACCAAGCCACTAGGGCTCTTAAGGCTGGCACTTATCCCCAGTTTCTGTAGGTTTAAGGCCTACAGTGTTACATCACGTTACCACATGATACTACTGCATTGCTATCTTTGCAAAGTGCGTCATTTTTCCACTGACGAACAATTGATCCCAATTTCTAATGTAAATATTAAGATGTTTTATCCTACTTTTTCTTTGTAAATTTTAATTGATATTAAATGTGTGTTCAATAACTAATATAATGCAAGCTTTTGTGTTTTTAGTTCATTTTGATAGTAAAATATTAGATATTAAAATGCCAATTCCATAAAGCCTATGAAGTCATTCAGGCGTAATGAATGGTAGCCAGTATCTGTTGACAACAGAGAGCGCCGTCTGGCATCGTGATGACTGTGGTACTCAATACTTGATAAAATGCTAAAAACCACTTGTTCATATAGAAAATTTAAGAAACAAGAGAAGTTTTCACTCAAGCACGATTCGACTTTCTCAAATCAAATCAAATGACGTCATAATCATGGGAAAATGATAAATCGTTATTAACAAGTCGTGCAGGTGTAAGAACTTTTACTTACTTTTTTTTTCTGTATGAACAATTGCTTTTTAGCTGTTTATCATTATCGTTGTTAGTATAACAGGCCTTTAAGCAAATCTGAGTTGATTTGTGTTTTACCATTGCATCTATTATTGTTGAATTGAGGAATGAAAGATGTTGTGTTGTATTGCATTGTGTTGTAAACCAGATGAAATTGTTTACAATTACGGTAATGTAAACTTCATGTGATTTAGCTTTCCTTTTCAAAATAAAGAGTATTTCAGCCACCAGGGCAATGGACCAATGCAAAGAATAAAATTAATTAGTTTTATGAAATAATAGCATATTGTTAAATGTTAAACAATTTCTCTAACATTTCAAACTTATATAAAAAAGTGTTTATTGGAGTATGTCTGATAATTCTAGGCTGACAGAAAGGAACGTAGGCAGAGTCAGGTTGGAGTTAACGTCACTCAGTGGGAAAGCATTTATCAATTAGTGCAGTCATTGCAGAAGGGAAAACAGAAGCATCAACAGCAACGCTTTGACTCAACCTCACTTAAACCTGTGTTAATGTATGACGATTTATCTACACAAACACCAAAGGTATTGTTACATTGTTCTTATAATCACTTTTCACTCACATTGTTCTTATATGTTTACTTGACATAATATAATTCAAACATTGTATTTTTTTATTTATTTCTCTATTGTATCAAACTAAAAAACATCAATAAAATTTAAAATGCAACATTTTATAACTTAAAATGTAATATATAAATCAAAATTAAGAAAGAATAACAATAAATATTAATAAAGCAATACATGAAATAAGTAGTAAGTAGAAGTAGAAGTAAAGATAAAAAAAACACTGGCCAGAAATTGTTGCCATGTCAAAGGGTATCAACTTTACTTTGGCCAGCTTGTATCATTGTTCTCACTTGGATCCAAATATGCAGTAAGTTTTATTTACCCTGTTGCTAAATGCTCAGCTGAATAGTAGGATGTTGTGAATACATGGTCAGTCTAGTTGTGGAGGCATCCTGATCACAGACTACCGAAAGATTTATAATTATTTTCACTATGATATGTGTTGCTTGGTTTTACTTCCCAACAAATTGATTATAAATCACTGCCCACCTTTCTAAATTATAGCCTGGTTTGTTCTTGTTTCTGTTCACTGGTTGTTTAATTTTTCTTGAAAATTGTATATTTTCTCACATTCGAAACTGATTCTGATAAAATATCATGAAATAATATATTGAAATATTAAAAAATCTCGAGTGCATAATTTAATCAATTATTTATTCTTTAAAAAGCTAAATGTATACGTCAATACAAACAAATTTTGCACAAGATCGAAATTTACTGTATTCACTGGTCGGTGGCAGTTTCAAACCATAAACATAGCAATGTAATTCAGTCTAGTGTTTACCGAGGCATAAATGACCTCAGCCTACAGCATCGTCCTGTACGTACTGTAGGTCACAGTCCTTTACCAAAAGGGGTGTCCTGTTCAAAAAAGCCAAAATAATCACTAAATTTAAGCGTTGTAAAACAATTTATTGATTGACATTCAGTATATACAATTTCTTCATTTTAAACTCTATAAGGTATTTGAAACCCTGATAGATTTATTAAAAAACACTATTAATGTATGCTCCAAAAATTGTGAAACAAGCCTACATGGGTGCAACGGCCAACTCTTGAGTTTCACCATTATTCTACAAAAATGTACATTGGCCATATCTGGACAAAATGTACCTTAACATCATTGTCATCTTCATAATATTCTTTAACTAACCATCTATTTTCAAACGTTTATTACCAAACTATGTCTAGATCGCAGTACGTATATTTTGCATATAAATACAGCCAATTTTCACTGTCCAAACAAGCATTGATGGGGGGTCCTATCTAATTCCATAGGCTTTGATTGTACATTTAATTGCAAACGTGACAAAAGCACAAAATAATTAGTATGTGGAAAGCATACATTATGTCCAAAAAATTTGATTTCAACATGTTTACATCTTTTATAGGCAACGAAATAGTCTATTTGCTCTTGTTAGATATTGAATGTTGTAATACAAGTTATTGGCTTAAAAATTAGATAAACTAAACTATTCACACTAATAATCTAAAGGCCTGCAACTTGCTTGCAACGGTAGCGATAAAAAGCTATTTTTCATATAGAAAATAAATCGGTGAGAAAAGTTTTCACACTAGTATGAGTCCATAACGATTTATCATGTATACAATACAACAATATTTTCGTAAATCAAATGGCATTATAATCATGGCAAATCGATAAAATCGTAGTAGTAACAATGATTTTATCGCTATCCTATGATTATGACGTCATTTGATTTGACTTGTGAAAATATTGTTTTATCGTATACACGTTATCGAATCATGCTAGTGTGAAAACTTCTCTTCTTTCTTTTATTTTCTATATGAACAATTGCTTTTTAGCTTTATTGTTATTGTTATCGTTGCAAGTATAGACAGGCCTTTATAGTCTCGAGTGTAGAAAACAATTCAATCTGTGGAAACAGAAACCTTCTACAATTATTATTTTAAAATATAACATATTAAAGTATACAAAATTGTATCAGACTCAGACTCCGGTGAAAAAAAAAAATTGATATGTTGTAGAATTGATTTTTCTAAGACAGAAAAAAAGTAGTTTGATAAAAAACTGAGCAACGGTGAATGATATACAGATTTTTGAATATTTAAAAAGGTGTGAAAATGGGCGCTTACGCCCCTTTTTCCCCAGTTTTTTAAATATGCACATCTACACCATTAGTTATGCATGATGGGCTTTGACCTGTGATCTACTCTGCGATGTTAGGGCTAGCTAAGGTTTACGAAGGATCACTTAAATTTCAAAGCATACAATCCTTTGAGAACGCTAGGATAAGTAAATAAAAGGCAGAACAATTGTACTGACTTTCCTATCCATTTATTTCTCAACTTTACAGTGGGTGGTTGTTTTCGCAACCATAACATTATCTTTCCTATACTATCACACTATAATGTTTTTCATGTATACCCAAGTTAAGTCACATGACCGGCTGTAAACAAGCATCTATTACATAACATGGGAAAGGTCACAAAACAAGCAACAGATTTAACAATTACTAAATTTGGCTTGGATTGTTGAACACAGCTCAAAAGCTTATCAATCTAATTGTTATTAATTTAATACAGATACAGTTGAACTTGCCAAAGTCGATTTCGAAATGCCATTGAAATATTGTTCGACTTACAGATTACACAACAATTTAGCATGTAAAATAAGATCGACTTAAAAATTATTCAACAGTAAAAATAAATACAGTAAAATAAATATAATTTGTCCATTACATAGGTAGACAAATATTAATGAAATTAAATTAAATTATTATCTCCTAATAAAGTTTGTTCGTTCATTCATTCGTGTGACTCCATAATCAGTGGAGCTACACAGGTCTTAACGTAGTTTCCTTAATAGTGGATAGTCGCGTATAATGAATTCTAGTTGCTGTTATATCAGTTGACTGATACAGTCTTAGCAGGGTCACCACTCATAATAAAAGGTAAGACTACAAATTAAAATACATATGATTATAGTAAATTTCAGATTAATAACGATATTATGAGAAAATACAGTACTTCAATAGAAAAAAATACAAATACAGTAACTCTGAAAAAAGAGAGACATTTTGAAGATTCAAGGTTTCAATCTATTTGATCATTCTTAAGAATCATGATGAGAAAACTTAATTTATCTACATATATTTATAGTGTAAAAAAGGAAACTTAAAACTGTCTTAAAATAAGGATATTAAGAGAGGGGTGAGACTTCAGTGTAATTTGGTAGTGCTATATCGCGGAAACAGCCATATTGTAATTCAATATCTATTGGCTAGGCTAAAACTACTGCTAGGTGCATCACATCATCTGCAGAAACCCCAGTGATTTAGAAATAGGCTGTTTGTTTATTAAAGACAATATAAAATAAATTCATTAAGCAGTACAGTATACAAGATCTGTTGTTTTAATTACATTTATGTAGTTTTTTCATTCATTTTCATTGAACATTATCCTTATAAATTCTTGTATTCTATTGTCAAAGTCAAAATTTAATTTTATCATCAATCATACACTATTAAGGTAACATTGAAAATTGTCTTGTACACAGTACAAAATGTAAAAAACATGCATGATAACATAAAAAGATAAACAGGTATTGTTACAAATTCTTTGTCAATTACAATACAATGACATTAGAATATGAAATTGTATATTTATTGATTTTAGAGGGGCAGAATACATCAAGTGCACCCCTTGACATCAACACAACAAAACAAGTGAGGGCAACATATTATATTTTAATAATTAAATATTTTTATTGTTTTATCACCTCGGTTTGCTACTGCAACTCTTCGTGGATAATATGAAATGATTGATAATCCAAGTGGAGTTTTAATTCCATCTTCTTGTTTATCAATTCTTTTAATGAAATTTCCATCACTACTGAACAGCTGTATTTTGTGTTCACTTGATATGATAATGTTGTCATCCTGATCAACTACTACTCCCCATGGTTTCATCACCTTTCCATCTTCATCACCTGCTTTGACAAGGACTTTCATGAACCGTCCCTCATTATCAAATAGTTGTACTCTGTTGTTGTAAAAATCCAATATAATAATATTTCTGTGATTAGTAAGAGAAAAATCACTAACTCCACTGATTTGTCCTTCTTGATCGTCATCAGTCCATATGCTCCTGATCTTCTGTCCGCTGTCAATGTTGAATAGCAACACCTCTGACCCAAATCCTACATACAAAATATTTGATGCCTCATCCACATGAATACCAAATGGTTTATTCAATTCCACATTATTAATTAATTTTATCACTTGGCTATTCATATTACATATTGTGATGCAATTGTTTCCCCAGTTATTGAATGCTATGTTACCATTTTTCATTTTGTACATATTGCAAACTTTCACACCTGCTGGTAGTGTAACATTACCAATACATTCTCCTGATTGCTTGTACTTCAGCATTGTATTTGTTTTACATGATACCAGTAAGCAATCATCTTCACACTTAACTATATCTTTAACATATTTGTTTATTTTAATGGTTTTTACTATTCCTTCCTTCTCTACCTCGATTACCATTGGTGACTGCTTAATTTGTTCACAATCAGCAGTCACATCTAGTTTGCAAATACCTGGACTTGTACATTTACCTGTCACAAAATAATCTCCATTGTCATCTTCATCAACTTGAGTGTTGGAGGTTTCTCCTGTAGGCTGTGTCCATGTTGCCTTTAGTTGATTTGCCTGTATTTCACATTCATCTGTTTTTATTATTTTGACAACAATTGTTTGACCTTGGGTTACAGATTTCATTCCTTGTAACTGTAAACAGTCTGCTGCCCTCACAAGTGTAACATTTCCAATATTGCATTGTTGTAAAGAAGCAATTTGATGCTCATTTATTTGGAATATAATTTGTCTGTTATCACTTGGCTTTGTTTTTGGCAGTTTTTTTATTCTGTCATTCAGTGCTGTAATTACTGTTTCACTTGATTGCAGTGCTGTTGCTTCATCACTCTTCGATAAATGATTAAGCAAACTAATTTTTTTATTTAAATCAGATATTGTTGTATTCAATTCACTAATTTGTACATCAACTGCCTTCTTTTTCTCTTTGTAGATTGTCTCTACCTCATTTTTCATTTTGTCTCCACTCTCCTTCATTTTCTTGACCATTACTTGCACATGATTATCAATATCTCTCAAACTTGTATCTTTACTTTTTTCTAAGTTCGTAGCATATTCAATAACAGCCTTTAACCCATCTTGCAATTGGTTTTCACATTTATAAGCAGCTTCCTCCAATTTTTTAGACGTTTCTTTAAATGATTGGAATGCTTTTGAAATATTAATTGGTTTGTGTTTTCCTTCCTGCTCCTTGTGATCCATAACTGTACAATTTATACAGATTGGAGTTTTACAATCTGCGCAGTAAAACTCAAAAGGTTTGTTATGAACCGAACACAACGGTGGATGTAACGCAGCAAAGTCTTGTGGAGTCATAGATCGCACATCCTCCACTGTATGCAGCTTGTGATTTGCTAACATAGGAAATATTTTGTGATGGTCACTGCAAGAAGAGCACAAGTAATGTCTGCATTCCTGGCAGTAGTATTTTGCCTGCCCTTTAGCACAAACACATTTCATCTGATCTCTTTTGGAAATGTGTTCAATAGTTTCCAATAAGTTATTCACAAATGTATTTGGTGGAAGCTTCTTAAGTCCGCCCTCGGGAATGGCATATGAACTTGAGCAGGTTGGACATGTCAACTTACCCTTCGCCTTAACCCAGTCTTCCAGACATGCCAGACAGTAACTATGTAAGCAGTTGAGGGATTTAGGATTTTGAAGTCTCTTCATGCAAATAGCACACTCCAGGACCTTCTGATCAACAGTTTCAAGAAACTGATTCAATTCACTGGTAGCCATTTTGAACTATTCCTGTCAACAATAATATTTTGAAGTTGAAAATTAATATTGATTAAATTTCATAGTTTCATAATTTTTTAATATTTTTCTTATCTATAATATTTATAATAAATATTACAACATACCGGACCACCTTGTAAGGTCTGGTACCTTTTTGCAATAAGTTTTAAATTAATGTAAATAACTACTCATTACTAATATTTGAATATAAGATACTTATTTATATTTTATTTATTTCTTCTTTACCAATAAAGGCAATAGAAAATTTTAATGTTAAAAAGGTTAAATTATTAATTATATTAATAATAATAATAATAATAATAACTAGATTTGAACTCGTCACTGAGGACGAGTTAGGTGATCCGCCGCACTTTGACCCACGAG